CCACGTTTTTGCAGTGAAGTATACGCAGCATGACTGGCGGTTCAGCAGGGACCCACTGGGAACGAGAAACTGGCTCTTGTAACTTTCTTAAGTTCGTAAGGATTCATCGCATGTTGCTACAAACATAATTACTTGAAACCACCTCGATGCCTTCCTCCGAGGTCTCAAAGGACCCTCGGGTGGCCAGGCCTGATCTCTCAAGTCCGCCGCTCACAGCACTCGGAAGGCCTGAGGACTTGTTGGCGGCTTGATGGCACCTAGGTCTATTCCTACTGACTATCTGCTTCAGCAGCTGTCCGACAGGTGTAGAATATGGGCGGATCTACGACTACGAGCTCCATTTCTTCAATGACCGGCCTCGTGTGCTACTTGGCGCCAAGTTCGAAACCCCAGCCCGCAGTTTCTGACCCTCAGTCGCGCAGCCGAATCCCAAGATGTCCGAGGTCCAGGAAAGCAGCCCTCTGCAAATGCGCAGCTGCGTCCAACTCGCAAACTGATGGGCATAAGTCTGCATAAGCCCTTTGAGCTTGAAAGCCGCTTCTCAAGCCTGTACAGCCTGTATAGTGTTTAGATCCACCCTGGCCTTGCCGGGCGCCACGGCCTGCAGCAGCTCTTCGTCCCAGCGGCAAAGCTCGACAACCTCCATCAGGGCTTAGCGAGGGAAGACTTTTGTTGTCCCGTGAGTCTGTACATCCCTGAATGGAAAAGGGGCTTTCCATTCAAAAGGACAAGCCGATGTGCAAACACAGAGGTGAAGCTGCAACCCAAGCAGCAGACCCTACTTGGAATCCGAAGAAGATGCGCTTAAAACTAAAACCGAGCTCGATTGCAACTTCCTCAAAGCTTCTTCTCCGAGCGGACAGGTTCGAGTTGCCATGTGGGACACCGCGGCTCATCGCAGTTCATTTCCGAAAGCTCTAACCAGCCAGGAGGTTATGAAGCGATGGACTTGGACCATGGTGTGATACTCTACGGCTGGTCCCCCCGCTCTGCACATGTACAAGTTACATACTCCTCACACTGGCCCAGGTCTCGTATGCCACGGTAGACGACACTAGCATTCAAACAAATCAAAACAAAGGCTTTACCAGAAAGACATCTCCACGAAAAACATCTCAGTTCTGCCTACATAGTTGGTCTAGCCACCTTCACACATCCTAAATCCCCAAACCGTGAGAAACCCCGCCGGTGACAGCACACCTCTATTCCGAACCCCTCATTCAGGTGCAACGTTTTAGGCAATTAGGTGTTGTAAGGCATTGTACCAGTAGGATGTACAACACACTAGTGGTCGTCCCTATTCGCTTCTTTACAAGTGGCCAGATACGGAACTCAAAGGGATCCGGACTGGAACCCATTAAACCCAGAATGCATGGTGCCTGGGCGCGAGCACCAGCGACCCAGCACACGCTCTCGACATCCTTGCGGCGCTGCTGCTGCTGTGTGGCTTTAAGGTGTGGGCAGCGTGGCGTAGTCTTGTATGTTGTAAAGGCTTCTAGTATTTGCGCTGGAGATGCATATAGCGTGCAAAGGCAAATGATTACGTATAACATGTCACTTATGAGATTTGTGTCATGATACGTACCTCATCACACATGGAACGGAATAGATGGACGCAAATTGTATGGCATGCATGTGTTGGGAGATGTAGAGGTACAACGTTGCGCCACCGGAGAAGATTGTGGGAAACTAAAGTGCAACCACACATCTACGGTCTACGGCAATCTTACATGTGCATGAATAAGCATCCAAGATACATAGACATAGATACATACATACATAAGTGCATACATATATACATCCGTACATGCCCCGTACATGCCACACACACACACATAATACACGTGCTTTTTTGTGTGTCAATACAGGTGTGGGGGGACCACGAAATCTGCAGTGTGTGCTTCGTTGCTCCCTTTTGGTTACAGAGAAGAAAGCCGGGGGTGGCGTGCTCTTGCTACAAGCCGCACGATAGTTGACAGAACTTTGGAGCTTGCGAGGAAGGCGCTGACCAGTGTGCGCCATGGACGTTGCATCGTAGCTCGGGCACCAAAATCTTAAAACCGTCATCCTCCCAAAGTATGCCCTCCTAGGAAACAGGTTTTTTAAGCAATGCTCGAGCACAGTCCTTATTGCAAGCCTCTTGGTCCATGAAGTATCAGGTTCTGCTTCGATCCGAGTTTCAAGTATCGTTGCAATACCAACACACACACACACTGATAGATATATCTATATATATATGCGTCCTCCACACGGCCTGCATTCGCCCCCAGCGCGACCAAGGCCACAGACAGCGGAGAGAGGCCACCTGCATAGCTAGGATTGGATTTTCGTTGTCAGGTGTCCAAGCTTGTAAGAGCTTCAAGGCTTCTAGACGGTCTTTACCGTACTGGCAAATTCATGTGATTTCCGACAGTGTTGGCAGTACGTGTTGGTTAACGACTCACATTTGCCATGGTCGTGAGGCTAAGAGCTGGGGGCTCTGTTCCGAGTCCCCTCGCAGTTCAGGGCTCAGACAAGCTCCAGCTGAGAGTCGGCCCAATTCATGGCCCTTCGGTGCTGCGAAATCGTCTATGACCTACCGGGCCTATGAGCCCCGAATCTTCAAGGAAGCTGGGCTAGTAGTTCGCAGTTGATGGACTTGCCTTTGCAACTGCGTAGGAACAGCGACCCAAAACCCACTGCTCCTCGCCATGACTAGCAAGTCTGGAACAACGATGTCGACACATTTTGAGCCGACGGTCCCAAACCGTCTTGATCCAGCTCGCACGGTCACGCTCCGAGACCCTCGACTCCTCAAGAGGTTCCCATGTAGCGCAAACCGAGACTGCACGCTTGTTGCGGGAGGATGTTGCAAGCTGTATGCCTATCTCGTGGCTTGTGCATGTAAGCCGGCCTGGTTGCATCGGGCCCATCCTTAAGGCAGCTTGAATATGCCGGTTTTGACGTACCACGGATCCAAGCACATGGACTCACAGATAGAGAGAGAGAGAGAGACAGAGAGAGAGAGAGAGACATATATATATATATACATATATACATACATATATATATATATGTCATGTACATATATGTGTATATATATACACATACACACACAAACACAGACAGTCAGACTGCATGCTTGTTCTGTCTGCAAGTGTCTGTGCAGGGCGCATGCATGGCGTATGTGTGTCTGATACGTTGTTTCCATTATGTGCGCCTATGTGCAATTGGTGCATGTATACATCATGCCATGATATCCTATGTTATAGCTGGACAATGCCGCTGGAAGGGCTACGTCTTTGGCGACGGAATCGACATCTGAAAGGTCGTACCGACCACAACATGGAGAAGCGACTGAAAACAATACCACACATTGGCGGGAGCAAGGAAGCGCTGCACTACAGAACGGTTACATGATGGTGAGGGCTCTTTTATGGCTGTGAGTCCAACCCGGAACACACGACATAGTCATCTCAAGTCGCGATGGGAGGCCCTTGAATGATATGCAAGACTGGGCCAAGTCGTAGCTCTCCTGCTTCGATACTTCCATGACAGGCTTGGGGCCTTCGGATCCTGAGCTATAGAACCCAACTCCTAAAATCAAAGCCCTAAGCGAAGCGCGGCTCGGATTCTGCAGTGCAACGCTTGCACCGGCAAAAATCTCTCCACGAGCCCGGAGGACACAGGAAGCCAGGCCTTCACCTGAAGATGTTGATGTTTCTGGACACTTAAATTCCATAGAAATATAAGGACATGCTCGTTGAAAAAGCGCTGCGGCAACAAATGGAGCAATTTTATGAACAAGCATGGATGACACATCAGTAGATGTGCAGATGGCAGAAATCATTCAAGCTTTGAGTTTGCACACCTCGGAAAAGAGCTTGCACATTTCTCGCGTTCCCATGTCGAAGCTTTGGGTCATCTACGAGCTGTAATGGCTTTACTAATAGCAAAACGGGAAACTGAAAACCAGGATCAAATCGATCTCCGTTGCAGAAAGGCCCTTCAATGCTGAATCAATGCGACAACCATGGACGGTAACTTCAACTGTGCACAGGTTCCTGCAGGAACTAGAACTACTGGAGTTAAATACAGGCATGGGCTTGCATGCTCAAAGCCTGTACTGAAATCCAAGTTTGCCAATGTACCACGCCAGTCTTGTTCACCCAGCAAGGTTGAACCGTGCCGAGGCGCCGTAGTTGCAGCAATAGGCCCAGTCCAGAGCCTTTCTTGCCACGTCCGCTTCGGGCTGAGAGAGATCCAGGCCCTGAGAAACGAAAGCTCGGAATTCGGGCATGGAAGGGTACAACAATCCAGTTGATCCGTCTGGTTTTGAACCTGCGAGCCATCCTGCATACTATGCATGCACTTGAGTCACTTGAGTACCGCAGTCTTTCACAACCGGTCCTACGGCGTCCTACGATCGGGAATAGTAAAAGCCCATGGTGCCTCATGATCCCCAGACAAGGAGGAAGGCATCACCACAGCTACGGGTAGGTGTCGGGGGGCAAGAGCGTTCAAAGCCCTGCAGCCCAGAATCCCCGATCGAAACCGAGCGAGTTTGATCCTGTACCTCTGACATTCGCGCAGCTAGCAGTGACCCAGGGGGCGGCCCACCACCGCCGGTTCAGCCGTGACCTGGAGGTGTTCTGTGCTTTCGGAAGTTCTCGAAGAACCGTAAGAAGTAGCAAGTGCCGCTTGACTGCCAAGATCACGTGTCCCCCGACCCGCTGCTCTGCGGCATGCCAGCCCGAGTCATGCAGATAAGGGCCAGGGACTTTGTCCGATTCTTAAGTACGAAAAGAGACAGGAAAGTCGGTCTCGGATGGGTCGGTCATGATATTCAGCATATTGTCATTGTACAGGTAATTATCTGCCGAGGGCCACTACGTTCTACAGACGAGGTCGAACCACCCTACGACATGGTACTTACTTGTGTTTCGCTGCGCGGCGGATCGAAGTTGATAGGCCGAGCACGATAAGCAACACAGCAGGGCAGGGGGGAGCTACAGCGATACCTGCTCCAATGACATCCACGAGCCGCGCATCTGCAGCGCAGCGCTGGGCAAAGAGGCCCTCGAAGGAGCCCGGGGCTTCTGAGCACGTCGAGGAGTGGGCTTTCCAGGGTGTACCGGGTGCAGAAGTTAAGGGAAGGTGATAACTTTCTCTGACATCATTACACTCATTGATAATTACACACACACACACATCGGAGTATGTATGTCGAGAATGGGCAATGGGCGTGAACGTCAGAGGCATGTAACTGGAGGCTGCATGTCGCAGGAATGTCATGCTCGGCATCGAGTAGACAACACAGCAATGGTGTAGCAAGCATGACAAGGCAAAGCGGACAATTGAACGTCGGAGGCACGAAACAGCACCAAGCGGAACAGTGCGGCACGAAAGTGCTTTGTGAAGAGAACATACTGTCTTGCAGCGATGACTCGCAAAAATATTGGTGAGACACACTCTGCAATGAATATGAAACTATATGTATGTGCAAGAAATAAGTCATCAACAATCATGCGGCGATGGACTTGACAATGCACCGACCAACTGGAATGCACAAGCAGTTCACAACACTACAACCTTTACCGAGGGCACCCTGCTGACTGCTGAGTTTGCATGGCTGAGGAAGTCCCGGCCCAAAAGCCAAGTTTCGGATGCCACTCTTTAGACGAAGGCCCAAGACTTCACGCCCGGTGCGCCCGGCCTTCACCACCGAACCACTTCACCTCCAAATCTAAGTTAGGGTGTCACGATGCTCTAAGTTTCAGGGCATCGGGATAGAGCGACATCCATGCTTTCGGGTAGAGTCCAGCCGCTCATTTACATCACAGCATCCGGCTGGAAGTCTTCGGAACTGGAGAAGTTGATAACCAGAATCTTCATCGCCATGGTAACAATATGACAGGCATCTGACTATTTCTGGGAGGGACTCCTTGCTGCTTTTCCTGAACATTGTGGCTGCTCAACCTGCTGGGACTTTGAGGCCATCGAGAAGAAACAGCATAAAGTCTTCAACCCTCGCACACACTTTTCCTCCCTGCCTGCCTCTGGGAAGTTCTCCAGCTGCCGTAGCCTCACTTGAACTGTCTCGTTCGTGTACGGTGGGGCTAAAGCAGGGTGGACAGCATGCATATGTCAACCTAGAACTCGATGTTCAATGATCGAACTTCAACATTTTATTCAACCCTAAGCAAACCATGGATCAAATCCCAGTGTCAATCAAACCGACGTGCAAAAACGACTGCCGCACTGAACAAACCCTGACTTCCCCACCAGTCTGAGGCTACTCTGACCCTAGCCCTGTGCCTTGAATGCAGTATTCAGAAGGATTCCCACCCTCATCCACCACGATCATCATGAGGAAATTGGAGAAATATCAGGCTGGGAATTACAACACATCTCACATACCGGAATCCTGCACCTGGAGCGAACGCTACCTGCCATGCTCAGCGCTGTGCCGGTGTCCTCCCTTAGCCCGAACCCTGAAGACAACCCAGCCCGTATCTTGAGTTCATCGGAGGTCGTCTTACTGATGCCTTGGAAGCATTGCAAGGCATAAGTACATGTTTTGAACATGGGCATTAGTTGAATTCATGTGATTCTCGCCGCTCTACATATCTAGCAAGATGCCCTACAAGGGACGGTGCTTCCAAAATGATTCGTTGAAATGCTCATGAGTTGCCTCCTTTGACAAGCGTACGTACAACTAACGACGACGACGACGACGACGACGACGACTACTACTACCACCACAACTCCTACTGCTGCCGCTTGTGACACTCTCGCTTCATTGCTGAACAACAAGCATTCTGCTTCACGTGGCCCACCAGGTGGGTGTTTACAGGATGCTCCGAGATGCTGTGCTAAATGGCATGTGTGGCATGACAGTGTACTACAGATGAGGTATGCATGTATGCATGTACATATACATGTATGTGTGTATACATATAAACACATATACATATGTATATATATATGTACATACTACACCATCCATAAAGACATGTTCTCATGTGCATATCTACGACCCTACTCTGGACGATACTGAGGTGTGAGAGTTGCCATCCGACCACCGAGGAACAGGTCCACAGAACCGCCTCTGGGACGCTCGCGGCAGCCAATGGCCTCAAAGGCCTCGGATGCCACAACAGGGTGCAGGGTGTAGGGTAGGGTAGGGTTTGGGGTTTGGTGAGTTTAGTGCTTTGGGGTTTAGGACTTAGGGTCCAGGGTTTATGGATCATGCTTGTACTATAGTGCTACCCGGTCAAGCGATTCAAGGAAGGAACAAGATGTGCGAACCATCGTCACCGTAAGCAATTCCTATCCAAAGAGTTGCCAAAAGGGTTACCTTCACGGTTACTACAAGGGCGCTATCCAAAATAGATCATCCGAAGAGGCCGCAAGGCCCTGAACTCTAAACGCTCATGCGAGCCGGGCACATCGCCACAAAGAAGAGCATTGGCAACGAGAACCTGCGAGCAAGTAAATAAATAAGCTTCGGGAGTGGCAAAGGTCTCCTCCTGTATGGTTTACATACTTCTATTGTGTCAGAAAATGTGGCCCGAAGTGTGCTGTTGTTTGCAGAAGTTGCATCGGGTCTTATTCTAGTAGGTTCTAGGCATCTCACGATATTGGAGGTGGAATGACGATCACTCGAATGGAGAGTGCTAACTTGCTGAGGTTCAGAGCTCTGAATCCAAGTGCTTGGAGTCTGCAGATGGTTGCAGTATTTGAAGGAAACCAGCTAGGCTCGCATGCAGCAGGCACTTCCCGGCCTGTGTCGCGCTCAGGCGATGCTGGGCCAGGTCTAGGGCAGGACCTCCGCATAGGTTCAGGATGAGGATGGCTACATACATACATCCAAACATCCATTCATGCATACATGAATACATGCAAGCATACATAAACACACACACACACACGCTCACATCGCGCATGTCATGTATGCTTGTATGCAACGCAATGCAGTACGGTGCATTGCAGCATCATCTAACATACATCATGCAAGGTTTGTGTGTGTGTGTGTGTCTATAGTTACTATTTACTATGTGTATGCATCAAAAACATGCTGTGTTGATGGAAGCATTCAGTTGCCTGTATGCCTTGGAAGGTTGAGAAGGTATGGGACAAGCTTTGCTGCGCAGCTGCTTCTACAGTGGCTACCATGAAACTTGACACAGTTAATTATGGAAACAACCATGTCTGCTCGATTCCGCTCGTCCTAACTCTAAAGCCTCTGCTAGCTTTACCCCTCGCAACTGACTGCAGGTCTGCACTGTTCAGGGCTGCTTTCTTCATTGGGCGGGAATGCCGGAATCACTCCAAAACCATGTGTCAACCATCACCCTGAATATCAGTCATAATTGTGAGGTACACCACAAGTCGGGCTAGTCGTTGGCCTAGGAGAACGTCGCCGCTGCGCATGAGCCCCACAGCGACGGGGCAGCTGCCTGGCAGACGTGTGCATGCTCGATTCGCTGGCACTGTTGCTGCGCTTCTGCTGATGGTCGTTTCATCCCCAGAGGCACATTCGGTTGAAGAACTGTGAAGGGAGACCGCCTCCAAGATGTGTCGTCAAAGACTCGAGCAGCTTCTCCTTGGCTTCAGGCTGTGCTGTCCCGGGTCAATACAAATCGTCGGAAGTCGAGATGCAATGCCGTTCGGATGCTGTGTTATACGCAGTCCTGCCCTGCGTTCACCATGGCTAGCAGGAAACAGTCTGACCCATGAAAAACCAGCCGGACCTGACTCTCCGACTTGCGTCAGGGGCTCTTTCGATAGCTTCAGCCGATCTTGCAGAGCCTCCGGCGGGTTTCGTGTCTGGTCTCACGCTCCAAACATCGCACATGCTAGCTTGAGCTTCAACATCCGATATGTATAATGGGTCTATGAGGAGATTATTTCCAGGCAGGCGTCGGGCTCCATGGGCTTGGGGTAGCGCCTGTGATTGTGGAGAAAGTGCAGTACAGCTGCAAAAATGCAAGCTAGCCAGCTGAGATATGGAAACACAATAATAATTGTGTGCTGTAAGTCGCCGAGCCTGTTCAGAAACAACGAGCGGAGACGGAACAAACTCTTATCTCATCGATTTACAGGGCAATCGACGTTGCTGTTCGTTTCTACTCTGATCGTTTTACAGGAAAACCCAGCCTGTCAACTTGAGGGCGGGCTTGCTCTACTGCCACTCTACACCCGCCTGGAAAGTTTGGGGCAACATAGAGTATGCTGTGGACTTCATCCAAAAGCTTCTCCCCACAAACCCCAATCCCATCAGTGCCTCGCGATGATCACGGCTCAGGCGCCACGGGGTCTTGCGCACTGCTGCCGCCAGTCCATCGACGCCGCCTAAGAGGGTGCCAGCTGGATTCGAGAACGTGTCCGGCAGCGCATGACGTGGTGTGGTTGTTGATTGATGCGCATGTCTACCAGTGTTGTCTCGTGGCAGGCTATTGCTGCTGCCACTGTAGAATTGTAGGCAGATTGTAGCCCCCTGACAAACTTTCCTGGGTGGCCAGGCAAGGCTTAGGGCCTGCGAGCTTGACGAGGAGGGGACCGCAAGCATGGCGACTTGACGGATCGTCCCAATGGCCTCTACAGTTTTGCAGTGGCCGAGCCCAACATGGACCTGGTATGCTGACAGGTCTGAAACACAGATGCGGGTCGCCCCTACCAAGTACGAGAGCACCTTCGTAGTTCGTACACTTTGTTTCACAAGCAGCTCCTCCTGAATCCCGCGAAAGCTGTCTGCAGAATGGTTTGTTAACAAAAAAATAGAGACCGGGTCGCTGTGAG